ACTGAGAGCCCACTGGCTTTTAGACCAGTATTTCCTGGAAATGGATTTTTGCTGCTCTTGCAGCATTGGTCAAGCTGAAACATTTGAGGCCTGTCTGCAGTGCCGAGGTGTTTGCGGAGGCCCTTAGGAGAAGAGGCAGTTCCGGGAGGAGCTCAGTTAGCCACGAGGCCAACACGGTGTCTCCGTGAGAGGAAAGTTCGCCCTGTACCTGTGACCACAGAAACCCACCCCCTGCCAAGGAAAACTCCATCCTTGAACATGAGGATGGGTGATCCCCCTCCAGATCCTGCTCCGATACAGCCCCTTCCCTTCTGTGGCTGCAAGTGTCACCCACAAACCTTTAGTCTTTTGTACCTCATTTAAGCTCCTGACACCTCTTAGAGCACRTGTAACACAGCTAACTGTACTTAGCCCACCAAATTTTGTGTTTTTTTCTGCCTTTTCAGCAGTCCTGATGTTCTTCTATGACGAGGCAGGATAGACACCTAGTTGGCAGCCTCCTCCTCCCCGCCACTCATTCTCTACACATTCCCCATAAACCTCTCTCTGCTTTGTGCTTTTTTAAGTTCCTGCACTGTCATTCCTTTCCCCAGGAAGCACAAGTTCAGCTGCTCCATCAGTGCAGTTAGGGACCCGACGATGTTGCATTATGTCCTATAGCAGCTCTATTTATGCTGCAGTAAAGCAGCTCTTAATCAGGCTGCTACTCTTCCCGTGTAAATACCTCGGCTTGCCTCTGGAATTGGGAAAACTCTCCCTCTCTCCCTGGCTTTTTGGGAAAGGCCAAGTGACATCGCACAGGAAATTTTCTGACCAGTTTCATGTGCTGAAAGACTTGGCTCAGGCTCTCAGTGAGCAGGTGATTCCTCTCTAATCACAGAACTACTAATTTAACTACTAATTTAGCATATGCTCTGCACTGTTGGGCACGTGGGGGCCAGCCCAGCTCTTGCCTCCACACGTATGCAAGGGGAATCAGMCTCCTGCCACTGTTTTGGGTTTACAACAGTGCTACAAATTGAGCTCTTSGGCACTAGGGAAACCCCCAGCCCTTTGTGGTGACCCTATGACAAAGGTCAGGCTGTTTGTGCTAAAAGTTTCCTTTGACCCCAGGGAAAGGACAACATTTTGGGAACAAATGGCAGAAACTGATACCAGGTTGTCACGGGGAAATCTCTGTCAGCCACATTCACAGCTGAGTTTTGGAGCACCTCACGTTTTATCTCAGTCACAAAAGTCTTTATCCTCTTGTGTCCTCTGCAGTCAGCTGAGGAAGAGGGCTCATCCTGAGTTTTGTTGCCACTTGACTTCCATGGAAGAAACTGGGATAACACCAAAATCTGCTACTTCTTGCAAGGCACGGGAACCCTGCCAGATTCGCCTTTAAGGTCATTTCATTTTTGGTGAGGAGTTAAACAATTCCTGTGTCTGTTTAATGGCCATATGGAAGCCCTTTGGCTGACTCCGGTGATCAGTCATTCTGCAGCATGGAGTTAATTGTTTACTAAAACCGTTAAGCTGTGTGCACTGAGAAATGCCTTTAGGCTCTGAAATCCATGGGAATATCCCACTAAACAGGGGCGCTTGCCTGCTGCCCAGGGCTCCTTGCCGTAGAGCTCCGGGCGCTGCCGCTTCCGCCTCGTGTCGGGATCCCTGGGGATGGAGCAGCCTCTCTACCCCATTAGCCCATCCTCCCAACCCCATTAGTTATTTAGCCGGCTAAAATGAACAAATCCTGCTCACAGAGTGGCCCTGCACTGCCTGGCTRTTTCTTTTCCTGAAGAATTTGCTTTGCTTTATCATGAATTGTGGATGGTGCTGAAGCAAGAGAGCGGGTGAAGCCCAGCCGGGCAGCGACTCCGCCGGGATGTGCACCTAGCCCGGGAGGACCCTTGCTCTTCACAAGGAAGAGTCTGCAGCAGCTAGGAATGACCGGCTAGATCAGCACTGATACAACGCACTTTGAGAAAAGAGACCTTCCTGAGTGTCCAAGCTCTCCCCCAGCACATGGGAAAGAGGCAATGGGCCTCCACATGATGGCTTAAGGGCCTCCAGGGAATATCCAAGCACAGGTGGGAGGGAGGAGGAAAAGAGAAGCATGGAATCACATTGGGCTCTGCTGCCCCATGCAAGCCCCACTGCAGGGTAATAGCCCTGCATTCCTGTGGGAACCACCTCGCACTGTGAGCTGCCCATCTCGGCTGCAGGACTTAAGCCTGAGGGAAAACTTAGGCCTGAGGGAAAGCAGAGCAGGAAAGAGCAGGTCCTGGGCCAGCCTCAGTTGTCCTCACTGAACTCCCGCAGTCTGCTGACAACCTCGTCAGCCTTCTAGAGGCCCATGGCTGATTTACCCCAGCAATTTAATAAAGATGTGGTTTTGACTGGCTGCTAATGGGATYGCTGGAGATAGGCTCAGCTGCTCAGCGTGGGTTTCAGTTTTACTTACAAACACTATAAGCGTGGAAAACTGTCTATGGTGACATAATAGGAAAACATTACAATCTGTCTTATACGACAAGCGAGGTTTTTATATGCATTTAATATAGATTTCTTGGTTTCCGCTGGTTTCTTGCTACAATTTTCTGCTTATGTCTTTTTTTTTTTTTTTTTTTTGCAGGGAGATTTCTTTCTCCATTGTAATTTTGCAATTTGTTCTCGGTGCTGGCAATGCACAGGAACCAAATAATAAAGATCAGAAAACACATCGTCTCATTCCCCTCCATTACTTTTGCCTTGCAGAAAGTTCAGTTCCTCTTTGCACAGGGAAGTCCTGAACCAAGCCATCCTTTGAACCTGATTTCATGGTAGGCTCCCAGATGCCATGGTTATCAAGTGCAATTTTACAACCTAATTAGCACAAAATTAAACATTGCACCTCGCTCTGGCAGTCGGGTTGTTCTTGCCAGAGGGGTTTTACCACCTGTGAAGGGTACAAAGCCTTTTTACTCTTGTCTATGGAGGGTAAAAACACACGATGGAGAAACTGTGGAGCCTCAGCTGTTYTATCCATGTCCTCTCCCTGCTTTATACTCCCCATTTTGGGGTAGCCCTTCCAGATGGGTTTCATGAACATCCTGTAACAGAGTATTAGTTACCCAGGCTCCTTTACACTGCTGTGGTCTCTGGATTGTGGCAATGGCCAAAGCCTAGCCCGGAAATTCCTGCTCTCCCCTCCCGCCCGACCTTCTCCCCAGATTTCTGACCGCTTCTGCTAAGCCACAGAAGTCCTCAGTGGTTTATCTGTAAGGCTGCATTATTGTTCTGGTGCCTCTGGACCTCATACATGATTTACTGAGACAAAAAAAAAACAAGTTCCCAATAACTGGAAAGCTGTCATCCTCTTTTTCAGGTTGCTCACTGGTGTCCTTGAGAGAGAGGGTAGGAGATGCCTGCAGACTCCCTGGTGAGCCAGGAGCCGGAGGCTGRGTCAGCCAAGCTGCTCCCAAGCTCTCACACCAAGGACACCAGCCAGGTCCCACTGAGAAGGCAGAGAAGCTCAGAAAGGAGGAACAGAAAGGAGGAGCTGTTTCCTCTTCCAGTAGAAACAGTTGCCTCCATGCAGCCAGGGTACCTGGCCTCATTTCTCCATTCTCCCTTGTGATGCTCCTTCCCACTTCATTAGGATTGGTGGAAATGGCTACAGCTCCTGAACAGCTGAATCCTGTCACGGCAGGGCACTGTTCCTCCCAAAGAAGTGTTTCTGTCAGGAAGACTGGCTTCTGAAGGCACCTTTGAAGGACATGTCTCCCCTGGGGGGCTGGCACTCATGCAGATGTATGGGTGTAAGCACTTAGTCTGGGCATTTTTTGAACTGTCACATGGGTGCATATGGCTTGCCCTGCAGCTAGTGATTGATCCTAAAGACAGGCATCTTCCAGAGCACAGATGCTCTGGGAAGAGCCCTTTATTCATCTTCTCCTTCAATGAAGAAAAATCCCAATGAAGCCTTCAGAGAATGAAAGGCTAACCAAAACCTCTATTCTCTCCTGCTGCCTCCTTAGCGATTCTGTTTCTCCCAAAGCCCAGATTCAAGCTGATTTTATTAGAAGATGCTCTCTCTGAAGAGCAGCCAAGGCCAGAAATGCAGAGTGTGTTACTTCAGTGGAAGCTTTTGCATCCGCAGAAGGTCTACCCAGTTGCTCTGAATCACCCAGTTCTGTGGGGCACTCTCAGAGCTCAGGAGTGCCCAGYTGGACGAGCTCAGGGGGTCAAAACTTTCTCCTCCCAAAAGCACAGGACATTTCTTAGCTAGGCAGCTCAAAGGCAATTTGAGAGACCTGGGATAAATCATGATCTYCAGATACACTGAAAACCCCACTAAAATTGTAATAAGGAAAACACAATCACTGGTCCTTCCTCATGAAGCTCCAGTTTTGTGATCAGATTGGTGCCTGCTGTGCCTGGATTTGTGAACTGTTTTAAAGTAAATTTGTTCCTAAATGAATCACATACTGGACAGAAGCTTTTTAATGCCCTTTTGATAGACATGTGATGAAAGTTCTCTTCCACTGTTTGCCCAACATTAACTCTTCAACTTGTAAAATCTCTGCTTATCAAATGTAATGCTGTCCCTGGAAAAATGTGCATTTTTTTCATAATAAAAATAATAGTATTTTCTCATCCATTCTTTCCTCTCCCTCTCTCTGATCACTTATGGCTCAACAAAACACYACCAAGGGTTAGCTGAGCTTGTGGGGTTGGGAGGTCTCTAGTACTGGARGATCCATCCTTTAGTTCCCTTTTATACCTTATCGACCATGAAAAAATGAAGAACCGTAAGTTGCAAGAGTGAGTAGTACTTATTTTCCCCATAAAATAGCTAATATATTAAAAGCTTCTCTTGTCTCTTTTTGAAAGCAGATATTGGGACAAATGTGGGAGAAATCAACATCCTTCAAAATCCCAGGAGTTAATGCCAGCACTTGGCATGYCTCACACCACCACATCAAGCTGCAACACGCGTGGCAAGCCCAGCCCTTGATAGAAAAGTAAACACTCACCTTTCTGGGTTTCACTTTGTCGTGGTAGTCGTATTGAAAAATCCCTTTGTAGCTAAGTCCTAACCACCAAGGAATTCCCTGCTTGTCCTGGAAAAAAGGAAAAAATAAAAGAGAGTGTTATTATAGAGAAAGGGAGGGGAGATTCTGCCATTTTGTTAGGTTGTGATTCAAAGCAAAGATTTGTTTCTAAGTAAGATGCTTGAATGTTGTGGGTGCTGTTAAATTTTCTCAAGTCACCAAGTTGCTTGGTGTCTAGGGGAGATCTGTTGTCCTTTCAGCCATGACATATAAAACCATTTAAAAATGCATCACCTGCCATTAAGTTACTCAAAATGCTGTCAGGGGAGGTTTGACTTTGGTCCCTGGTGCCACGGTGCATCCTCTTCCTCCYCTTTGCAAATTATTCAGTCTGCATACTGAGAGATCGGAGAGGGAGGAAGAATTGCCCAGCTGACTTGAATTATGGGGAGAGAATTTTAGCATTAATCTTGAAAATGCAGCGTTAATGGGCTCCGAGAGTTACCAAGTGATAAGGTCTGACAGGCGTGGAGCCAACTGCTTTGCATCTGAGCATGCAATAAAACAGTCTTAGGGCATGAGGGCTGATACCTGACACCGGCCTCTGCAATTTGCTGGACTGGAGTCCTCAACAAAATTATATCTATTCTGTTAATGTGACAGAGAAAAGCAGAGCAAAACACAGCAAAAAACAACCTCCCACATGAGGCAGAAGTGAAGCCTGTCGTGCAGCATTTGCTGCCTTGCTGCTGCTTATGCTTATTGATCACAGTTTGCTGGAGCTTCTGCCACCTGTTTGCACCCTCAGGCACCCAGCCCAATCCATCAGGTCTTTCCTGGCCTAGTGCAAGGGAGATGGATGCAAAAGGTGCTGGAGGGACCTGCCCTCCGGCAAAAGACAAGGCCAGTGCTGTTCTACAGAATGCCATGCACATGAGCAGGAACAGCCTGGGAATATATTCCCCAAGACAGCTATTTTATTTATTTATGTTTTTATGGTAGCTCATGTATGCAGAATACAGACAGACAAAAAAAAAAACCCATACAAGGTGTGCAGGGAGATAATGATGAAATGCATCAAAACCCCAGGGATGGTTGGAAATACTCTGGGCAGGATGGATCCTGTCCATGCTTATTGATTTCTCTACTTAAAAAAAAGGAAAAGCCACTCTCCACTGCTGCTCAGGCAGGGAAGTGGTATTAGAAAACTGCAAGATTTTGAGAGATTTCCTGACCACCTACATGAAATCCACATACAAGTAGAGAATGTGTGTAGGGAGACGTGTTAGCTCTAGAGGATGGCCCTGTGCTTTGACAGAAGTTCTGTACATCCAGCTGAACAGAGCTCGGGCTGGCAGATCATGGCTGACCCCAGTTTGCTGCTCCTAAATCCGCAGGCTGGGAAAAATCTGACCTCCTGGAGCTGTGAAAAGGAGCTGGCTTGTCCCTCTGGTGCCRGTTCACTGGCAGCACCAGAGCTTGCTGCTGCTTGTGAGCCCAACATCCTAGCACAATAGAAGGATTGTGAGAATTTTATCTCGAAGAACAGGATTTTCCTCTCTGGAGCTGTATTTACCAAACATTCACTACACAGTTAAGTAAGTTTACCCTGCCACAGGAAATGGAACAAGACTTTAGCAATAGGGTATTGTATTCTAGGGGCAGCACGGTTATTTGTACCTCTCCCTGCCCTCTCCAGCATCGTTTTAATTCAATAACTGACCCGTTTTGAGTAGAGCCTACCTTTACTGCATAGTAATGCACTCCATATGTCGGGAGAGATTCCACGATGCTCATATAACTGCAAAACAACACAAAAGAGAGTAACATATCTGCAAAAGAGAGAAGATTGTCTGAAAAAGAGATACTTAAATAAATAAATAGTTAAGTAAATGCATTCTTGAAAATGAGTGTTAGATGAGATGGAGACAGTTACATATTGGATTTACAGCCCAGTATAAATATTTCCTGACAACGAAATGTCATTAGAAGGTGCTCTGATTTCACTTACTTCACTATTGCTTGACCTCTCGTCTGGCCATTTAGTTTCTTGTAATGTTCAATGACTCGGTCCTCACTGGAAAGGAAGAAATGAGATGTTGTTTTATCTAACTGCAATTTCTTGTCTAAGAAGCTTGCCAAAAGGTGAAGAGACACTTCTGTTAACACAGCTACCAAYTGAGGTAATGAAAACATGCCAGGCGAAAGTGTTAGATAATGGGATTTGATGCAGCCTGGGGAAAACAAGGGGGATGCAAAGACTGAAAACAAAGACTGAAAACAAAGAATTTCTAAGAGCTCATGTTCGGGAAGAGGCTCATTTTCTTCACAGACATTGTGTCTCTTTGCACAGATTTTTCCTCTCTGCCTGACTTCCCTTTTCTAAAAATAGTACCCACGATGTTTCGCTGTGTGGCAAAAGGATGAGTGGGGGAGCTGCTCARGCCCTGATGTGCCCTGGCTGAGGCCCGTTCTTCCCAAGCCAGCCCACTGAGCTAGCAGAGTTCTCGGAAGCTGGTGGGCAGTTCCACAGGTTACCTCTCWCTGCAGCTGCATAAGGAGCACGAGTGGGAGGACTCTTTCTCAGCAAGGAGTTGAGTTCCTCGTGTGCACAGAGGCTGTGTGTGTGACAGCAGGTTAAACAGTGGCAGGGAATGTGYCCAGGGACTCAGATGCCAGCACTGCCTCAGTGTGCTCCTGGCTTACACTAACTTGCATCCTTGCTCCTGGCAGTGGATTTGGAGCTCGCCTGGGCCAGGGTCCATTGCAGGGTCTGGAGGCAGCCATGCAGATTTGGAGACTAAGGAAGTTTGATGGTATGGATGGAGCTCTTCCATGCCAGTGGGCTGCAGTGTTGGAGAACGGGCATGTTTGATATAGGCATGTTTGATATGGGCATGTTTGACATAGGCACGTTTGCTATAGGCATGTTGATGCGTGCTGAGACATACACCCATACACAGTGGTGACACAGCATCCAGGAGCAGCTCAGCGCTGTCCAAAGGACAGAGACATTGTAAGCTCCACTTCAGAGAGCTGCAGTTCCCCTCCTCCCCTGGCACAGGGACTGTGAGGATCTGAGCAGGGCAGCTGTTCTCCCATGGGCTCTCACCGTCTGGGAATCACTGCTCTCCCTCCTCTCAATTGACCTCCCCGCACGTCCTGTTCAGACTACAAGGCTCTCGGGGTGCAGGGTGAAGAGATGTCCCCCACCAAACACTGAGGCTGCAGGGTGCCCGTTGAGCTGGTGACAGACTATGTGGGTAGAGGAACAGTCCAGCTCTGCCATCAAATTCCACAGAATATTTTTAACATTTAGAAAATGATCCTTGAGGAAATTCAACAGTCATAAAACTGAATTCAGCCCACTGATCCAAGCAAATCACTCCCACAGATGTTATGGGCCTGCAGCTGACGGCAGAACCTGGCTCTGCTGCTACGATCATTGTAAACAAGATTACTTTTGGAGAAATAACTGAATTACATGCATGTTCAGTACTGGAAGGGCTCCAAACAGCCTCATGCTTAATGATAAAGATGGCCAGAGAGGGCTTGCAGCCCTTTGTAATTACCTCCTAACCCCCTGATTACATGTGGATGCCATTTGTCTCTGTCTCAGACAGGAAGAAATTAGAAGTGACTTCACAGCAACCATGGAGTTTCTCCAGCCAAAAGGCCTGGGAGAGTTTGCTTTGCTTTCCACTGTGTGCAGATCAAGCCCTGATACTGAAGCCATTCAAAGAATGGAGAGATCTTCCTCCCTGCTGATTGCCTAATGTGATTCTGAATGTTGTCTGCTTTCTTAAAAGCAATTAATATAAAATAATGGATATGTTTTTAGACATAGCTCTCATGCAGGGAAGCCAATCAGTGGCCCATTTCCTTCAGAGAGATAGATAAGATATCAGGGAGCTTTCCTGAATAAAGGGATGAATAACATGTCCTCAACCTGCCCTAAAAGACAGGGGACAGTGCAGACCCTCCCAGCTCTGCACAGCAATTGCAGGCAACACTCTCTGGGCCTCTGCTGCTCCATCAAGATGCTCCTGATGCCCTTGTCCATTGTAAGATGTTCGGAGGTCTGCAGATGAACAGTGCCAGAAAGGGATCGTCCTTGTTTCTACTTGCACTTGAACAAAAAGATAAAGCTTGGATTATGAATAGAGCCATGAATACTTGGATTGGGAGGATAAGATGGGATTCTCTGTCTTTCATCTAGCGTTTCTACAGGGCTAGTAGCAGTTCCCAGAGGGAAACACTCTGGGGCACATTTCATCCCATCTATTTTAGATGCCTTCCTTGCGAGGTTACTGCTCTCYGCTGGCACTGGGGAAGCTGAGGGACCCTGGCTCAGATGGAGACGAGCACACAGGYAGGTGACTCCCGTCCTGGCTGCTTGACAGTCTTTCCTCTTTCTAGCTGTTCTTTCCTTTCACTCCTGCAGCGCCGTGCAAGGAGGATCATCTATCACAGAGGTCACCTTCTGCCTCCAACTCTGAGATGAGGGGCAGCCCAGCAGGTGCCAGAAAAACAAACAGAATCATTCACGGGTCACGGGGAGCATCAGCAGAGCTTCTGAAGAGCCTCCCCTGTCACTTCAGCTGTCCCCGTGGAGCGGCTGCGGGGCTGCTGCTGACAGGGGCACCGCCTGCACCACCAGCTGACATCTCTTCTCGCCCAGCTCTGCCTTGTTGCTGTGTTGGTGACAAAAACCCTCATTCACAACGCAGGGATCACAGAGGGCATTTTATCCTCGCGGAGACCCTGGGGCTGCCAAGGCACTGCTGTCAGTTTGGCAGCTTGTAAAACATCCCGCCAAAGCTCTGGAACGAGGACGTGGATGCCATCCTGCAGCAGACAGCTCTGATGCTGGAGATCTGCAGAGCTCCCAGGAAATCGCTCCCCTTTCAGCAGCGACCAGACCTGGGTGGCAGACAACTCACACGCAAACGCAAGGCCAGAGCTCCTCGTCTTTAGAGCCAGATTTCCAAAGGTATCCGTTTCCCCTGCTCTCTTCCCAGCACAGTGTTTTAAATAGCTGCCCCTTCCTTACTGTGCTTTACCATTACCCTCTTTCCACCCCGATTTACCCCTTTTGAGGATATTCTCAAACCAAAAACGTCTGTGTTTGCCAAAAGGCAGAGCCTAACGTCTGTGCTGTAAGAGCAAAACTGAGTAGTGCTTTACAGTGCCTTACAGCTGATATCTGCACAGTTAGGTTGCTAAAAACAACTTTTATTTAGTTATTTGGAYATGGGAGGAGTCTGCCTGGAGCTTCTGGAATTCTTATCTTGGTGAAGCTATCACAGTATCCACTTCAAATCTGCCCTATCACCTCTTAGTCCATTTGGGATTATTTTAGATGCCGTTTCAAATATATCATGGGATTTTTTGTTTGTTTGTTTTAAACTAACTAGAGCAATTACTCTCCTCACCCTGAATGTTTAAGTATTTCTCTCTGGAGCTGGAAATTCACTTGCTCTTGCTTTGTGTTAATGCTGGAGACCTGACTGCACAGAGAGAGGGCCAGGGTGAATTTGTATCAAGTATCCAATTTGCAGGAGTTGCACAGGTTAAGGGATGCAGCGCGTCAGTACAAACAGTTGTAAAAATCTGCCCTTTTAGATCACTGAGGTTTGTTTTTTCGGAGGCTTCTTGTCTGATTCATCAGCAGCCTCTTCCTGAGAAGGTTCACTATTTCACAGGGTGTTWATGGAAAACATACTATTAAAAAAATAATGAACTACCGGTGTATAATGGGTCTGAAARACTTAGTCACTGAAGAGAAATCACAGGGGAGTTACAGGGCTGCACTCACTCCTTTTATGACTCTATTGGAAACAACCAGCTTCCCAACTGGGGCTTTTTCTTAGACAAATGTGAATTCCCACAAAATTAGGCACAACTGCAGGRAGGTGAGCATGTTAATTTGAGATCCCTGCTTCTTCTGAAGTGCCAGATTTGCCCTCTGCTCTGTGCCTGTCTATCTGTTCTCATCACTGCTCTCGTGCTGGCACTGGAGCTTGAGTTGCCCGTCAGTCAGACCAGGCAAGAGAGGTGGCTGGAAATGCATCATTTCTTAATTTGGTGGATTAGTTTGTGAAAAAAGGAAGGAGATGTTCCAAAGAGGAAGACCATTCTGCCTCCAGTGAGACTGCTGCCTGTGTTTATCAGATTTGCACAAGTTTGGTTTGATTTGAGGGTTCTCAGGCAGGAAACCAGGCATCTGTGACCACCCACTGCTTTCATCTAAATGCTGCTAACCTCAGCCAAGCTCTGAGTGTCTCTTAATGTGCTCAGAAAGTGTTGAGCCTTTCTCAGACCAGCTTTTCTGCAGCTTTGTACTGGGAACAACTAATTCTGCTATTGTAGCCGTGCTGTGAAGACTGGATCGATTTCCTGCCAAAGGGAAGAACTGAGATCATGAAACTGCWTTTTTTCCCCCCTGCCATCCTTAAATTACCCGGATGCAGAAATTAAGAGCAGCAGAAAAAGGGAACTTTGCTCCAAACCTCAGGCTTATGGCCAAATGCTTTAAAGAGAAACATGAAAGAGGAGCAAACAAAAAAATCAAATGAAGGCATCTCACCACTGATGAACAGTCTTTGCTACCTGCATAGATGGAAGGGACAGGTGGCACAGGAGCAACCTGCGAGTGTACAGGCTTGAAGTGTGACCCTGCGCCTACCCTGGATTTTATTTTCAGTGCAATAAAGCCAGTGTTTGCAAACCTCTTCCCCACTGAGCATCACCTAGTACATCTAAGAAGGTAACTAGGGCCTTTCTACCTTGGCTGTGCAAGAGAGGACTTGTGAAATGAAGTATAGCCACTCAGAAACAGTGCAGAGCAGCACAAAAAGGGACATTTCAAATGGGGTCTCTTTTCACAGATGCAGAAGGCAGGAGGAAATGCCCCATTATGCCTCTTGACTTCAGAGGACTCTCACATTCACAGGGGGGTTTCTGGGCAGACATTGCAGCCACTTAGCAGATGGGGAAATGGGGCCTGGGGTGAGAGCTCAACTTGCACTGAATCATGCGAGGAATCAGTGGCAGACAAGAGCTATAAGGAAGGAATTCCTGCATTTCCTGGCTTGTCCCAGATCACCGGCTGCTGCAGACGGGGCCAGCATGAGACCCTGCAGTTTCTCAGCAGCAGGATACGTTACCAGTAGGCAAGCGAAGGGTGCTCCTTCAGYGCTGGGGTTGGAAGGGCTGGCAGCTTCTTTAATTCATTCCGTACAATTTCGTTGCTGAAAGAGAGTTCAAAAAGAGGATCAGGCTACACGAAAACAACCACAATGCTTGATATGACCTGACCTAGCTGGCAGCCTGCAACGGTTCTGCATCTGTTCCTCCTTAAYAAAAGGCACTGGGGTTTCCTTCTTTTTTTTTTCCTTTATTTATTTTATGGCAGCCCAGTTAACTTTTCCCTTTATTATCAAAATTGGAGAGAAACTCTCCCAGATGGTTGTGTCGAAGCCTTTCCCATCCCCGACTCCCAACACACAAACCACCACGTCCCACTTCATTGAGCAGACACATCCATACTGAGAAAAAAAAAATCAAGGGCTGGAGAAAAGGGGAAAAAAAAGAGATGTTTTAAACTACAACAAGGCCCCTTTGTTTAATGCCTTACAAGCTGCTGCAAAAAGCAGTGTTTTGCTTCTTAGTAATGCAGGTTGTTCTCAGCCTATTGCCCCCTGTGCAATTTGCACATCTTCTCTGATCAGATTCCAGCTTGAACCTCTATCCTGCTGCACAGCATCCTCCTAACCACCTTCCTAATATTCTCTCTGCAGCCTCCAGTGAGCGCTCCGGCCGGCCGGAGCAGGGAACTGCACACGAGTGGGCAGGGAAAGCTCCCAAAAGGGAAGAGAGTTCTTGCAGATGCAATGAAATGATGGGATGTTCTCCTGGGGACCCCAAATGCCTCTCCTCTCACCTTTAAACACACATGTGCACAAGCAAAAGTATCTCAAAGGCTTGGAAAGCGAGTTTGCTATTGCTTTTAAATTCTTAGAGATATGCAGGCAGGTGTCAGGACAGTGAGGAGCTCCAAATAATTACTGTTTATTCCCTTCCTTTTTAATAACAGTGGTTTCTCCTTCTTCTACTCTCCCCCTTCCCCTGCCAAACTGTGTGGCCGACCTGGAGCCACAAAGGCAGGTCCCTATCCCAGAGCTCCAGATTTCCCAGCCCACTGGTTTCTCCTGCAGGGCAGCAGGGTCACAAGCCAGGCAGACACGTAGCCCTGGCACCTGCTGGTATTTAGCAAGTCTCTTCCCCCAGCGTTTCTCCCTGCCCAAGCCCTTGGTGGGATTTTCTTAATTGCTACGTTGGGCTATTTCATAAACTATGACAATAAATCCTGGCGCAGACATTTGGGGCACATCTGCAGGTGTTTGCTGGCACGGGGCTCCCTGGCTATCAGGTAGTGTTAAAGCAAGACCACTATTTCTAGCTGACACAAATCTCTGAGAAAGATGCCCAAATGAAGCTCAGGTTTTACTGGRGGGTGAAGGTGCTTTGAACAGCGCTTAAAAGAAATGACTGAGGCAACCACATCCATGCCATGCACATAGGAAACCACTCAGCAGCACCTCATGTGCCGAGTCAGATGACTCTGGGCAAACACTAATGCTTGGACACCCACCGCTGCCCAATGGTCCTGTGACATTCAGCTCCTCCTTGGTTAAGTGCAAATACTCAAAAGCTGCTCAAATGTCTCCTTCCACGGCAGGGAAATATCTGCCCAAGTCTGAACAAGAAGCTCCTCTGTTGCGGGTTATCTGCTGATGCGGCCACTCTGCTCTGTGAGCGAGGGCCTAGCAAACAAGCTGCTGCTGTTCACGCTTTACCCAGCTCTCCATGGCATGTGCATGCTCAGCTCGTACTGATTTTTAACACAATGAAAATAATTGAATAAAACCCCACAGCACAACTGAAGCACAGGCAGCCTTTACACTCAAGTCACAGCTATCTGAAGTTGGCTGCTCCGAATGGTTCCATGGGAGGAGGCAGTGAAATTTCCCCARCTCTTCTGGGAAGACAAGGAGTGATTGCCCAATAGGGACTTTCTGAGCCCAGGCTGCTACTGAGTATCCTGAGTGGTGACTAAGTGGCCTTGAGAATCTGGGAAAAACCCTGATTTAGCACTAGCTAGTGTTAATGCTAACACCACTCAGCTCCTTCTTTCCACTGGCTTCCCTGTAATAAAAAATATCTACCAAGCATCAGAGGAAAAGACACTTAGCAAGGTCGCTGGATGGGGTTGGCATTTCAGCTCWGCATTTAGGGAGTAAAGGTCATGCCTCACAACTCCCACAGGCCGAGTGTATTTCAGGCAGTCATTTCCAGGAACAAAAAGGTATTTCTTTGCATGATCCATGCATTCACTAACTCTTCTAGTAAGACTTCAGGACCAATGAATTGAGACTCCCACAGGATGTTAAATGAAGAAGGAGGAGGAGAAAATAATGACTCGAGTTGCACTTGAACTGGTGCCTGTGAGGTCAGTTTCCTCTTGGCTCCTTTGAAGACACCATGACCCTTAATTTTTAAAAATGTTTTCAACAGGATCACAAACGGTTTCTTACTTACAGCCTTCCCAGCTCCTTATATTGAAATATCTCAATGTGTTTATTTTATTACTGTTATTTAGTGTTTGTTTAATCCAGTCACTTGTGTTGTATTTATGTTCTGAAGTGTCTAGTATAGCTCCAAGGTTGATATATATGGAAGGGTGCTTTAGATAACAGATGTACTAATATACAGGGGAAAGGCCCCACACACATGGTGTCTGTGTCCTCCAGAGCAATTAATTCCTGCATTATTGTGGACATTATACTATTTAAAAGACTGAAAAATAACAAGAAAACAGAGCTGTAAAAGCCATCTGCAAGGTGAGTTTGAAATCTGGTTGAATCTGAGAAATAGGGTTGCAATAGGGGTAAGAAACGGACTTACAAAATAGGAGTTCTGGTCTAAGTTCTTGCACTGCTTGTTTAATGAGGCCAAATAAATGTGTCTCCAAGTGTCAGGATCTCTGTCTTCACATGGAGGGTGAAAGGAAAACCTAGTCCCTGCTACAGGATTTTTTGCCAGTCGCCTGCAGCATTTGGAGCAAGATTATATATGCAATCATGCCTCAGAAAATCCCTGCATATTCCAGCACGTGTAGCAGCCACTTTGAGTTGCACAATGAAATTGCAGGTGAAAGYCCTCAGCTCTCCTCAGCACGGTATTTAGCTCTGTCAAATGCAGGAGGGATCCCACAAGCTGAAATTTGGGATCTCCTCCATGAGGCCAGAGCACAGAAATATGCAGGCTGTAATCCCTTAATGAAGTCTAATTGTTTAAATGGCACTTGATTATACAGAAGGAAAGGTAAGCCTGAAATTGGGTTAGATTASCACCTGCCATTACCTTGATTTTACTGTAAAACTCAACTTTTTCAAAGGGCATGCTGGCCCTTTGCTTTCCTCCCACGTTGAGATTTTGCAGGGAAATGTTGGACTTCACTCAAAATATCTCATATTTCTGGACTGGAGGAAGTCTAGCAATGAGAGGCTGTCTCAGGAACTAGCTGCAACATTTCTTTTTCTTTAATTTAGGCTTTTCTTTTCGCTCCCCACATTGGGAGATAAATGATCAGTGTATGCTATTTCTGGCTGCCTTGACATAGCTGTTGGTTAAAGAGCTGGATTCTGCACATTTAAAACTGAAAGTCAGTGCGAATTTCTCCAAAGATTTTAATAAATGTCAGACTCTGAATCTAGGATTAATTTAGAGGGAAAATATCAACTATTTTAGGAATATACTCTGCTCCCCTTAGATTTAGCTCGGACATTCCGGTGCCTTGTTGTATGTAGACCTAAAGAGGATCACACCTATAGGACTTGGGTTTATTGGAGGAATCTAAACTTGTTGTGCCCATACTCTGTCAAGCGATAATGACTCAGCTCCTGTCTAGAAACAGTTTTAGCTTGAGCTAATAAGCTTTATATCTTTCTGCAGAATACTATTTTAGGAGCTTTACACTTGTGATTCTGTACCTTTGAAGTCAAAAACGTTGTTACTGATATCAAGAAGCACAGATWTCCTGTTTATCCTGAGAATCTACTGGGCAGCCTAATATTGAGTGCTGTATCCCAGCCTAAAGGAAAGCTTTTCTCAGTCCTGTCCACTATCCACTAAGGCATTTGGGGAGTCTCTTAAATAAAAAGTGAAAAGTGCTGTATTTTCATGAAGAAAAACAAATCTTAAAGAAACTTTTTATTTTGAAACCTAGCGGGGCGGTAATACCTGCCTCAAGGTCTGCCCAAATCTGTACCAAATCAGAAACGTTCTCTTGGTACAATTCTGCTTGCAGAACACTGCAGTGGAGCAGACCCTTGCAGGAAGCTCCAAGAAATTCTTTTCTTAGGGTGATTCGGGCTGCCCAGGCCCAGCAGACACTCGGTGACTCTCGAGTTTGGCTCCAGGTAGCCAGAATCAGCACTGAAAGTCTCACCTGTGATAATATCCAAGCCAAGGACGCAGGACTCGTGTGCTTGAAATGGCTCATAAATCCTCTTTGAGGAAAGGGAAGCTGAGCACTACGGGCACAGCTCTTATTCCCGCACACATCTTACGGATGAGTTCCTCAAAAGCAGCAGGGAGAGCTCTACTTCTTTACTGTGAGGGTGACAGAGCCCTGGCACAGGCTGCCCAGGGAGGTTGTGGAGTCTCCTTCTCTGGAGGTCTTCAAAACCCACCTGGATGCCGCCCTGTGCTCCGTGCTCTGGGTGGCCCTGCTGGAGCAGGAAGGTTGGACTAGATGATCTCTAGAGGTCCCTTCCAGCCTCAGAATCACAGAATCATATTCTGTGATTCTGAGAGCTGCTGTCTTTGCARGTTCACAAGTTTGGAAAGTGGCCTCATCGATTTTGCAAAATCCATTCTGGATTTTGAGCTTCCAAAAGGTCTGGAAAGCAGCACTCAGCAGGCGTGGAGCTCTGACCGACCCTGTGGGTGCCATGGGGCCAGGGGTTAATGGGTTTAGTTGTGCTAAGGCCTCCGTGCGCAGGTGCCATCCTGCAACTGAAGCTGTGGCAATCTGGGGTTGGATGTCCCAGCCCCTGAGGTGACGGGCAGCAGCTCGCAGGAGRGCTCCCATGGGACTAGCATCTCTGCCATCATTTCGAAAGACTCAGAACTTATGTACTTTCCTGGAGCAGGTCCAGAGGGAAATGTGCAGTCTCACAGGCCGTAAATCTGAGGGTGGCAGYAGACAAGACCTGTGTGGAAACCTGCATGTCTGCAATCTGCATTCCGAGCATGCAACTCTCCAGAATTAACTTTTGTTTTTCCTTCCTCTTTAAAAACAAAGCAGGGTTTGAAGAGCTCAGCCTTTGCGCAACCTATGCCACCATCCCCAACACACTATCTTTAAATCTCAGCTGCAAGAGGTTCAGCAACTGCAGAGCTCCTCTGTTTCAAAGAAGAACTAAGTCTGTAACAAGCAACATTTCAGCAATGACTAACCTCAGACTCCCAAGCCAAGTTTAGCCCTAACCGAAGTCACAACATTTTTCTCCATCTGCAGTTACTCCTGCTGGCCCCAGGCTTGATTTAACTCTCAGATTTTACGCTGCTGATATGAATAACCACAAATCGCAGTGGGCAACGTCTTGACCACAGTGACCTCATGTTGACTTCAGTAGCACCTGGATCTCACCCAGCACATAAGCCCTTGATAAAGCCTTGTCAGTGCACATTAGATAGAAGCTGTGGGACAGAAGCCCACAAAGATGCTAAGCCTATGCCTAGAACATAGCAAGTTAGGGTGGGTTTATTCTACTTTCCTCTTACAAAAAGCTTTAAACTCAATTAATATGGCAGGCTGCCTTACCTYCAAAGCCCATTTATACCTTGCTGTTGAAGCACCACTTTTCTGCCCCTGACCTGGATGTAAGGTGACCACCTTCCTCATAAAATCTTTAAGACCCACAGCTAGGAAGCACTAAAAGCTRTTTTAATGGTGGTGGTGATAACCATCACACCACCATGGAGAAAGCAGTGAACACCAGGTGGTTTGGTACCTTCTGTGGTCTTAGTGCCAGACAAATGCATGGCCATACACTCAATCACTTCTTTTACAAGGGGGCACCAAACTCCTTGAGATTTCCAGGAATTGAAATGATTACCTGAAGATAAAATGCTCTTAGACATATTATCCCAAGCCAGTTAACTAACATCTAAAGGAAGTGATTCCTTTCTGTCTTGAATTTCACATTAAGTTTTACATTCACATTCACGTGGCTGAAATAGGCTTTTCCAGTGAGTTTTCCTGATGTGCAGGACACTCTGAGAAACTTTAAATGCTGCTCTTCGCAGCAAACCCAGTGGAAGATGTGGTTTGTCACAGATTTGAATGGTCAAACTCTGCCGGGTCCAGCTGTTCTGGGGTAATCATTTGGTAGGGTACAGCAACCAGACAGCAAGGAGAAGAGCCACATGTGACCCCATGCCCCCTAAATAAACTCTGCTGATAACTGAGTTATTCTGAAGTGGGTGGAACTGAAAAAGGAAGCAAGACTGGGCTTGTGTTTCTGTGGTCAGCTGCTTGTCAGGATTTTGCAAGCTGACCGAGGTTCTGAGCAAAGATAAGGCAGAACTTGAACTTCCTTTTATCAAGGGTTACCTTGTGTCATCTCACATTCCAGGATGAGTGGGCAATACTTGCAATGCATTGTCTCTTTTCACTGATATGCCCAAATTTAGCTGTCTAGAAGTCTTTGTCTAACAGAAGATATTATGTTTATCATTCCTGGGTCTGCAGAATAGCTCTTCTATTCTCTCAATATTCCTCAGTGCTGATGAAACAGACACCTCTTCATGTTTTGCTGTCAATTCAACCTCCTTGTCCATTCAACCTTGGTTCTTTTTTTGAAATAAACTGCYGTGGATGGTGTGATCCTCCAGCTGAACTCAGGTTCCATAAAGGTAATATATAGTACCTGGAAGTTTTTAGAACTGACAGTTCTCCTGGGCTTCAGATAGGGAACATTCCTGTTTCTCATGCRAGGCATGAAAAAAGTATCATCTGATATCGACCTTTGATCACTAGCAGTGTGTAACTCATGGATACCTTCAACTCGCAAGAAAATCAGGCATTTCATCAGCAGTCTTCTGAAACACTTCTGAAACACCTCTTTGAATTTCTTACATCACTTCTAAAGATTAGGCTTAAAAGGAGCAGAATCCCAATCATCTACAGTCTGATTTTGATAACTCTGTCCAAATTCAAGCTGAAATACCAATTAGTGATGGAATTTTAAGCCTCTAGCTGGATATAACAACAATTGTGGAGTCATTTCCTTATAGTAATTTCCTTCTGGAGACTACCCTATTTCCTGAGCTTCATGGGCATATAAAGGCATTTGTCAACAGTGCAGTCACCAACAATGCCGTTTGCGATGCGTGCTCTGCTCAAAGGCTGTGGTTTGGGCAGAGGTAATTTCTAGAAACGAACTGAGTCTGATACCACTTGCACAATGATGTCATGAGCTTCATCCCCACAGCACAAAATGGCAAAACATTTAATTTTACTTACCTTGAAAAATCTCCTTTTGCCTCCTGTAAAATGAAGGATGGAAAGAAAATAAATACATTGAAAGCAGAAGAAAAGAAAATTACTGTTCAAAATATGCACTTTGCAAAATTAAATTATCATTAATATCCTTTTCTAATTGATTTCTCAAGTATTTTCTGGAACCAGTCTCTAAAGGACTAAGTYAAGTGCCCTGGCAGATATGTCAGTAAATTAGTCAAATTTATCAAAGGTTTGTGCCATATGTGGATAGATGACTCCTTACTCTGCTTGTGGATACCAAACAGGCTGCACGAAATACTACTAGCAATTTTGGCTTAATATGGAAGTTACATTAGTAAAAGATCTCCAAAGTCTCATTGGACTTTGAAACCCCCTGTCTCTTCTTACAAGTATCCTGGTTATTTTAGTAACTAGGCTTTGAAAACCTAGCTCGCTGTCAGCTTTCAAGGAGATGTCTCACCTTGTGGAAGTATTTAGTTTTCTCACATAAAAARCTAAATATCTGTATTTTTTACCATCACAGGGTTTGATAATGTTCTGCTCTAATAGTTAGATTAATACTTGAGTCTTACTGGATATCTGGAGCCCTCCGTATTTGCCGAAGGTGTAATACATGTTTTCCATTTTTCACTTACAAATTGTATTTTACACACTGTATGCCAAGCATTTGCTGCCAGCTATGTAAAARCACAGTGCAATAACACAGTTTGCAACTGGTCAGTAATGTAACCTGTGCTTTCAGTGCCAAGGGAAGCTGGTTTGACACTCAGGTGTTTGTCTCTGCAGCCATTGAGCCACCCACAAAACCACTCAGCCCGGGTTCCGTGAAGTTTTAATCCTGAGGTTGGGGTAAATTTGGGCTGGTGACATGAGCAAGGATGCAGACGAAATCACTTGGGTTCTGACAGCCCTCTAGTGTCCTCTGATTTTCACTTGAGTGAACTGAAGGTTAGAAAAGCTCTCCTATGTTCACTGGAAGGAATCATCCTGAATATCATAATTAAAGTTAAATGTACCGCAAAAACTAAGAGATGCACCCCAGATTGTGCAGGCATGAGTATATTAATATCTGTGGGGTAGGGCCTCTATATCCCTGCTCTCAGACCCAAATGCTGCTTTGAAAATTGAAAGTAGAGCAGAGATCCTGTCACAGACTTGGGCTGTAGTAATTTCTGGCTGCAAACAGCAGAGGTGTGGTCTGTTTTGACTGCTTTTATTACGTTACCCGTTGAATTACTACAGGAATACAGGCAACATCCTGTGCTTGCCTGTGATGAAAAACACAATCGCAGCGATGAGGGATACCCTGGCAGATCTGGATCTYGTTGTACGATTGCTAATTGCTCAAGTTATTCATTAGGTCGAGCAGACAATAGATGCACAACCCTGCTGCTGATTCTCACAACGAGCCTGTTGTTTGATGTGTATTCCCCCAACACGCCAATATGCAATTTCTATAATGTGCTTTTAATTGAGTCCCCCATCCTGACTCTCTCCCTCCATTTTTCGTTACATAAAATGATCTTAATGAAGATTCAAATCCCTACGCATTAATGCCTTCCTGAAGCAATTTTCACATGAAAAGGGGTACAGGAGTGCAATGCTTTGTTATTTATTAGGGCAGTCTGGGGTTAAAGCTTTTCTGCTCACGTGGATCCTTGCAGCTTCATGGCTGACAAGAAAGAAATTAAAAACTAGCCTGAAAAAAAGAGGAACAAGAATCACCTGACAGTTATCTCTGATCTACACCCAAGCCATGCATACACATAAAAAGAGATCTTTCACAAAAGCCGCTTCCTTTATCCTGAAGAAATTTCTCTGTGTGAGCCATGGATTTACTAAGCTTTGCTGGTAATCTGCTCTCTGGCTCTTCCTTTTCCAGCAGAGCAGGACACAGTTTTAGTTTCTGAAAAAGGTTTTGATAAATCTTTGAACCTTTCTATCCGCACTGGGAATACAGGAGCACATATAGAAGATCCTAACAGATCCTCCCAGGGACAAGCTCCAACAGGAAAATCAGTGTAACAGACACCACTGAGAAGTCACCGGAGGGGAACACATCGCACAGGGATTTCACGTAGGAAATCTCACTCATCACTTAAATTTCACCTGGGTTTAAATCATATCCTAGGGCATTTCGTATCTATGTTGGTGCAGACCCAACAAACATAACATGTTATGGATGCAAAATGTTGGGCAGGATGGATTTCCATCCTTCCTGGATGGAAAGCTCTCATTTGGGAGCCTTCTATATCTGTTTYGCATTGTGATAAATGATGGAAGTGTAAGGACAAATTTCACAGCTTGTCTGTTTGGAGAATCCTCTGCTCAGCCCTTTTTGGTGTGATTTTGCAGCTCACCATGATGTTTGATGCACAAAGCATGAAGCTAGAGAAGGCTGCTGCTTACCTGCAAGATGTAGGCAGCCAGTTCAAACACCACTTCGCTATCAACCTCAATGAGTTCCTTGAAATATGGAAAAAAAACAAGAGAGAGAGACAGAAAGTCGATCAGTTAGAGCCCCTGCAAGAGGGACGTGCACCTCCTCCTGGCTGCGCGCAGCGAGGCGTGCAGTGCCAGCGCTGCCCTGGAGAGGCTTCAAAGCATTCCCTGTGTTCCTGGCGACCACAGGAAGGCTGAACCTGCTTGCTGGGACGTGGAGAAAGCCAAATATTCAGCGTAATGGCTTGGGAAACGAAGCAGAACTGGACATGGAATGAAGAGACTCCTGGGCAGGCGGGAGGAGAAGGTGTGGGGGGCTTCAGGGTTATTTTTGTTTTCTTTGTGGTTTGGTGAAAGGTAACCTGGGAAGAAAAAAGCATGTTTTCTCCACAAAATACCACCCATGTTTCAGGGGAACACAGCTTTGTCCTTGGCTCTCAGAAGTAAGGAAATGAGAGAATTTGTCTTTAGTTGTGCAGTTGTGTCAAAGCCTAYGCAGAACTTTTCTGGTTCTTGTCCAAGTTAAATGCACAGGGAAAAGAACCATATTCTGCCCTACAGGAGTTCTGGTTTCAGCCCCTTCAAACCCATAATTGGGGTTTGGGGWCTGGGCTTGTTTTTTGGAATGACTGGCGAGAGCAAATCTCTTGCCAGATCTAAACTGCTGCATAGGATGGGAGCCACGGRTAAAACCAATCATGGAAGGTCTGGTAAAACTGTGAGAGTTTTGCTTGGGTGCTGTAGACACACGAAGGCCCCTGATGGCCTCATCCAGTCCTCTCAWGGTCCTTCTTCTGTTGTGTCTGAGATGGTTGTGCTGGATGTATGCATGGGATACAGATCCATCGAAGATGTTTGGGAGAGGAGGCAGGACCTCATGGCCAAGTTCTCTTTACCCAAGTCTCTGCTTCCTGACAAATTTCAGCTTTTGGGATCGTAGTAGGTTTCCCCTCTGATAGTTTTGGCCTCACCCTTGCAACTAGATCTCCTATGCAGCCCCTTATGTGGCCAGAGGCGTACAAGTACATGGTTCAGCTTGCACCTGTGGTGGTTTTAATGCTGTATTTATTTGAACTGCTGTTTTTAATATTTTGCTTCATCTGGAAAGAACTGGGTGATCTAAATATAGATCCTTGTTGTGAGCCATGCTCCTGCCAAGCAGTGGCCACACCTCATTTACAAGCCACAATCACTACGTTGGCTCGTCCCTGGCAAACTAAAAAAACAAAAGGGAACAAAACAGGGGAGAAAACCCAGGTGTCCTTGGCTCTCAGCAGTGCCAGCTTTTTAAAATAAGCACTTGCCTCACCTCCTTCACAATGACTCCCTGGGGAGCGCAGCGCGGCTCTGCCACGGGCTATGAACACACCTTCCTCCGCTCAACTAAGCTGCCTGATTCACACARGCACCTGCACTAACGACTGCGAGCGCCAAGGGAAGGCGGCCGCTGGGGTGAATTGATTCAAGCAGGGCCAGACTGGGGCTTTCAGGCATGGGGTCAGGTAGGACAGGCCCAGGAGGAATCCGAGTGCTTGGAACCAGCGCCTGGACCCACGTGCCAATGTTATGGCTAGTCTGGGCTGGTCGGTGACGTCGGCTGGGGTCATCCGTGGCCCTAAGGGTACATGGCACAGTAGAGCTCGTGACTAAAGCTGTTCTTTCCTCCCCGCTCCAAGYAGGCTGTGCTGCACCTCATATGCATCACCTCTTGGGAGCAGGTGTTCTTCCCCAAACGGTGCCCAAGCAGTGTCTGCGAGTGACTAAACCCATGCCAGAGTGTGCTGTAGTTCAACAGCACAACTGGTAGTACTGGGGCAGGTTCCAAGGTCCTGGMTTGTTTGATAGTACACATCTGGCTTGGTCTTTTTGGCCAGTGCCAGCAGTGCTAGCCCTGTGACAAGGGTTGGGTGTGGGGGTCAGTGGGTGCACGGCTGCATTTCTTAGGACACAACAGGATGGGGCAAAAGGTGGCCCGTGCACAGGCAGAATAGGACAACACAGGCCCTGCACTGATCCCCCCAGGAACACCAGCAGACCTGCAGCCCAGTTTAACGAGGCCTCTTGGTTTCCTTTCTCCCAACACATAGGGCCCTGTGCATGGGGCCCTATGAGGATGTGTGTCCATGGAATTGAGATACGGGAGAAGTCTGAACTACTCACACAGAGTTAAGAACTACATTTAACATATATATAGTGTAGTCTTTCCTGGTTGCAGGGTGAGTCCAACGGGGAACCTTTTCTTCCAACGAGKAGCCTTTGAAGTTTTGGCAGTTGGAAACACCTGCCAGTTGCAGGGAGGACAAGCCCTGGTTGTGCCTGAATKCTGAATCCCCTTTTCCATAGCTCGAGGATTCCTCCAGGCATGCCCGGCTGCGTGCTCGCCCTCTGCCTGATCTTGCACCCATCTTTCAAATTCAGCACGTTTTTAATAACAGAGCAACACTTGACTGTGGCGGAAAGTCAGACAGGGAAGGACTTGTGAGGTGGACTGGGAAACCAACAGGGCTATTTCTGGATGGAGATAACAGTCAGCTTGAATGTGCAGAGTAATGGTTTCAGGAGAGGTCAGACTAAAATAGGCCAACCTACATCTGTAGGCTTTTTTATTCACCCTTCTTCTTCTTCTTAAGCTTTCTCCAAAAAAAAAAAAAAAAAAAAAAAAAAAAGAATAGCAGTGTAAGCTTTTCCTGGCAATACTCCAAAATGGAACTTTTCCCCAGGAACCAAAAATGAGATGCTCACGGAGCTTGTTGCTGGAAAGGGCTGAGTAAGCATGTCTAATTGCACCCTTGCCAGAGAGCCAAGCTCTGCAGAGCTCATCTCAGCAGCCCTGCCTCATCCCAGGGCACTGGAAAAAAATGGCATTTTTTTGGCTCCTCCWATTTTACCCTGCACTTAGGACATGTATATTTAGTCCCTGCATTTTAGCATGTGCAGAGGATGGGAAATTAAAACCCAAATTTTACGTAAACTGGTTTGCTCAGCAGCTCACAAGCCTGCTTAGGGTGGTGGGACAAGGCACAAGGACCAGCTGACTCCAGATGGCCTTTCCTGCCACTTCCTCACCAGCAGATGGGTGGYGAATCACTGGGAATTGCTGGCTTCTGCCAGTGCAGGGAATTCAGGTAAGGGGAAATACAGTTCTATTCCAGGGAATATAGCTGTCAAGAGGCCCCTCTGCAGTCCATGTCACCCCTCCAGCCCCCTTGGCAAAAAGTCCTTGACCAGCCAGGCTTTACCTGGGCTCAGCACATTCATGCCACGCAGAGAGAGGAAACCAGAGGGCCAGGAAGTTTGGGGGACTGCAGGGAGTGGAACAGTCTGTTCCCATAAGGGCTGATCTGGCAGCTCTCAGGCAGGACCTGGCAGGGCTGGAAACCCGCTCCAGGGCTCTGAGGTTAATTTTCTGGACTCTGCCCCTTCCACTTATGTGCTCGGCTTGTCGCAGTGCAGACATCAACCCTGCTGCTCTGCTGCTGGCGCTGCAGCCAGGCCACGGGCAGCAGCCCGAGCCAGAAAGCCCTTAWCTCCGTCACTCAGAGCCCATGCTGCAGGTAGCTCTGCCTTATGGCTGCGGATAACAGGCTGGTGTTTTCAATTGCCTACAAGGCTATTTTGGGCACAAATAAAAACATTTCTCACAGATTTCACACACTATTACACGTTTTCCCTCACAAACATCCTCACACAAACCCGCCCTCATGCTGTCTAGCACTGCCCTCGCACATGCAGCCTCCCCCACACACATATACTTCGAGGCAAACACACTGTCGCACACACACTAGGCACACCCTCGCACACCCGCACACTCTCGCACACCCACGAACTCACCCCTGTCGCACACCCTCACACACCTTCCTCACCCCTACAGCCGGACACACGCACTGGCTCCCCGCGCCACAAGATGGCGCCGCGCCTCAGCCTGCGCGGGCGGGAACCGAAACGGGAGCCTCAGCAGCTCCCAAAAAGGCGGGTTTTTAACAAAACAAAACCAAAAACACCCAACAGYAACACCAACAACAGGATTTTCCCTTTAAATACAAGAGAGCTGGTCATTTGGCAGCTGCACATGCCCTCCTGTCCACTTCAGAAGCTCTTGCCAGGGGGATTTACCTCAGGGCATCTCTTGCAAAGAAAAGCTACCCCAAGCACGATGTACTCAGAGAAGATAGAGGGGCTGGAGGACCTGAGGGAGGCCTAAGGGACTGCCTTAGTCCAGGCCTTACCTTGTAGATGCAGGACTTGGCATTCAAGAAGAACAGCTCAATGGTGGCGTTATCCTTTAGGTAGGAGATGCTTTCAATGTAGAACCTGAAAGGGAAAATTACAGAGGTGAGAAAACTGCAGGGCGAAAGCGTGAAAATGGACTCCATGAATGCACAGCAACCTCTGGACAAATCTACTGAAAACATTTTTTTYCTGCTTAAAAAGGAGACCGAGAACATGGAAGAGGCTTGAGAATACTGCAGGATGCAATCAGTCGCCGCATCCCCAGCCATACTGAAGGCTCRTCACTGGATAATCATTATCACTGGATGATTTTGTTTCTCACCTTTCATTTTGTGTGCAGGCTTCCCTCTGTTTTCCATCATATGGAGGCATTTCTTTCTCCCTCCTTCACCTAGCCTGCCAATTTCTGCACTGCATTTTGTAAAATGCCCACTGCTAGAAATCCACTCCAGGGTTCCTTCCCTGGGTACTTTAGCTCTTGTATTGGGTATTTTTAATAAAGTAAAATGTATTTCATGTACTTCATGTATTTAAGCAGCTGGCACGTAGCCGCTATGGTGGTAAAATAAGTGGGCAGGAATTGCTGAGGACCTTGTACAATTTGCCAGTACAATGAACAGTGATGCTGAGGATGATTGGGAAGGAAAATTATGTAATATTTTGGTCAGAAGATGAACTCAGAAGTCAGAAAGAACCTGCCTAGCCCAAATGCTCAGTTTTAGAAAACTGCACTCACTTGCATTAGATGAATACCCCAAATATTTTCCTTTCTAGGGTAATAAGTTTGAGATGAAATGTTTGCAAGATGCCACCAAAGTTAATGGTCATTGCATATACATATCTCCTGGGTTTTTAAGGTTCCTATGGTAACAGAGAAAGGCTGGGAATAATGAAAATGAATTTTTCATTTATCTCATATTTTGAATAAGGAGAAAAATATATATACTTGCCTCCTCCAATTTAGAATGATCTTTAAGTTGCTATACAGTGACACCAATGTCCCTTACCTAAATTTCACTACTATCATGGCTTGTCACAGGCAATTTGAATAGAGAAGGTGCCAGGGAAATGCTGTCTGCATTAGGAACTTAAAAAAACAAGGAGATCCCTTAGGAAACAGGGCTGCGTTGCAGGGTCCAGTTACAGGGAATCTCGGTCTCTGACCCTGCTGTCTGGGAGCAGAGCTGTGAAACCTGCCGAAGCTCCCAGGGCTACGTACAAGCTTATAGAGGCTGTCCATGTCGAGCTATTTGCAGAATGCAGGGCCTTAAATATAACCTTTCTAGGGCTAAAGGGCAAAGCTTTGTAGTGCTCCCAAGTGCCTTCTGAAGACCCTTCAAACCAACTTCTTTCCTGACAGGTCCAGTGAGCTATTCTCTTACTAAAAGTGAGAGAAACATTTTGAGAATTTTTTGGTCATCTCTTGAACTTTTCTGACTCACCTCATCTCCTCCCCCCTCCAGAATAAGTCAAATGTCAAATAATAATAATTAAAAAAAAAATCAAATGTTCTCTATTTTCATTCTTTTTTTTTCTCCTAGTTTCCACTGGGTTTCACCTAATGTCCTTGAAACTGTATTTGAGTAAGTAAAAAGATATTGGCTTTAGAAAAAAAAAAAAAAAAAAAGATGCCACATTAAAATGGTGCCTTCTTGCTAGATCTGCCTTGTGAGTGCAGCTGGTTTTCCATCTGCTGAATTCATGGTGAAAAAGTGATAATTTTACACCTACTGCTCTTCTTGAAGATTGTTCCGTGCTTAGCACCACTACCAATGCTCTCCAATGTGTGACAGTAGGATCTTTAATTCCAGGGTTGGATGAAAGAAGAAAAATTTGTTCCATTTCAAACCCTGGTGAAGATGAGCAAAAACGCTTTTTGTTTCCTCAGCAGATCAAACAAGACCACCCTGCTGATCACTAGAGGGCAATATTGCATTTCAGAAGGCTGCAAAGATCTCTCCCAAAGGCTTGCACACTTAACACAGATCATTTTCTGTGTAAAAACGAGTATCTTCAGAGCCCAGAGCTGGCACATGATCCTTCATCTTCACAAAGAAAACCCAATTCTCTAGTGACCTGCAGAGTAGAAAGTGCTGRTGAGCTACTAGCTCCTACCCATGCACCCAGGCGGATACAAAGCACGTGCACCAAGAAACTGGTGCTATTGAAAGAAAACAGATTTGCAGAGCGAGCTCTTGGGAGATTTGCTGCGTGGTGAGCTCCGAAAACCYGAACTGGAGCAGGCTCCCTTCAGCAGCAGCAAAGGGAGGGAAATACACTTTTATTTTTTGCCCTGATTATGGATTTCTGTCAGACTGCCTCCTGTTTTCACCTTTTCCAAATACAAGGAAGGAAAGCACACTTTAAAATGAGTGGTATGTCAGTGACTAAGGAGGCAGGAAGAAGGATCCAGCTGCTAAGGCAATGAACCAAGCAAGAGATGTGGGTTAAATTCCTCACTCTGACACAGGTTTCCTTCATGACCTTGAGCAAATTATTTAGCTGCTTGAGGCTGTTGTTCTGTGTTTGTAAATACTCTCCCCTCCTGTGACACCTCTGTTGGCCCAATAGCCACTTTTATTACTGCCTATTTCAAGGCCCTCAGTTTTGAGGGGAAAACTGTAAGACCTTTGTCAAGGACTGCTCAAAGAGCTGCATTCCTTGAGAAATTAGGTGCCTGCTCTGAGGAAAAGAAGAAAATCCCACAGGACATTATGAGAGTTTTTAAGTTCTTAAGTTTAAAAGAGGGGAGAGCCAGCCATTGATAATCCTGTTTCTACATTTCCCTTCATGCTGCGCCCCTGGGTCACTTGTAATTCATCAAGTATATTTTCCAAGCATTAATTAAATGGACCAGTGAATATTGTGCTGGGTAATGAACGCAAAGTGCCTGTCTCGRCTGCCTGCTCTCGGCAGCAGGAAGATAATCACGAGTATTGCGGGAGGTATTGTGGAAGCCTTCGGTAACTGCTCCATCTGGAACATTTACGTCTTTTCGTGTGAGGACGGGTCTTGTGCTTACCAGATTGCTCTGTATTAAGTGCTGGTTAATGGGCAACTTGCTCTGAGACAGACCCCTTAGGCCCCCTCGTGCTGGGATGACCGGTGATCCGCATCGCTCCCAGCCAAGCACAGACTTTAATATGGTGCTGCCAGTAATGAGCAACTGTGGAAGCTCCCAATCCTTGAGCAATCCTTAGTGTTGGCAAAGGGTGTTTCCAAAGGGTGTACTCTAGGTGTCCCTGCTGGAGCAGGGCAGTTGGACTAGATGATCTCTGAAGGTCCCTTCCAACCTCAACCATTCTGTGGTTCTGTGGTTCCCGACAGCCCTGGGATACCCCTTCCATCCAGGGGGAGAAAAATGCCCCCTCTTGTGTCCCTAACAAATGGAATAGGGGGGGGAAATAATCAAATGGCTCTCCTTTACCTGTGTGAAAACATTATTTTTGCTGGGAAAATGGCAAAATSAAGCAAGATGATTTTGGTTCTCACACAGAATCACAAAATGGATGAGTTGGAAGGGACCMCTAGAGATCATCTAGTCCAACYCCCACTGCTCAGGCAGGGACACCTAGAGCATGTGGTACAGGATGGCATCCAAATTTTTGATTTGCAAAATTGTGATTTTGTTTTGATATGCAGTGATTTCTTCTGGTGCTTCTTCCTGTTGTAGGTAGGAAACACACTTAGACTCCAGGAGGGAGGACTCCGAGATGGGCAGATATGGGTCCACCCTGTCASTGGAGGGCCCCTTGGGTCGTTATTTCAAAGCAATGGGTAAAGGAGAAAACCTTTTTTTGCCTCATCCATCCCAGGGTCTGGCCTATTACCCTCTACCACATAAAAYCTCAGTGGATAATCTGAAAAATTTGAGGCCACTGGCTAACCAGGAGAAGAAAACCCAAATACATCAGTATAATAAACTTAAATGCAGACGTCATTATGTCCAGTGTTTCGTGCTAAATGAGTTTTCTGAACAGCGCTGATCACACTTTTATTTTCCATCCCTGCTGGCTAATAGTTGTGCCTGAGCCCTTTATGTGCTGACACTTCCAGCAGACAGTGGTCCTGCTAAATAGTTGGCCTGTTAAGTATTTTATTTTGAATAAAAACCAGGGATGGTGAAAAGCCCCCTTTGCCTCCCCTCTGTGTTCACTTGCCTTTCCCTCCCATACCCGGTGCCCTGCGCTTGTGTCGTGCTTGAGGCTCCGTCACAGCATGAGSGGCCAGAGCTGAGGCTGGAGATGTCCCCGTTGGAGGGTGGACCATGGGATGCAGCAGGAGGGACTGTGTCTACCTCGCTGGAGGGAATGTGATTCCAGGAGGATGAGGAATTGCAGCTGCCAAAGCCGTGGCAATTATTTAACCTGGGCCTCCTCCCTTTCTCCCACCATCTGCACTGCACCCTAAAGCTGCTTGCACATTTTCCAGCTGCCCACTCATTTTTTTTTTTAATCATGTGGTTTGAGGATATTTATTCACTCCTCTACTTCACCTTTTCCACCTGCAAAATACTAAGTGACCTACTTTGGACTATTCTGGACTCAACACYGTCCCATACTCGACATCGTGGGAATTTTTGCAGGTCACCCAGTGCTCCGGTAGCAGGATTTACCCCTGCAGCACTTTTTTCAATCCTGTTTTCATGGGGCACCCCCACAACAGGCCCTTCTGCTGGCTTCCCTGCTGACAGCAAATCACTCCCACCGGGGAAAGATAAAAATGCACAAGTTRCAATGAAAATGGAAATAATGTCTGTGATTGTGACCCAGCCAGAGAATCTGTGTGTAGGCATTAACTTAGGTGCTGCTGCTTGATCCARATTGGGTACAAATCCTACCCTGGCGGCATCCATCATTTCTGCATAGTGTCTRTGGTGCTGTTTAAATGCCTCCTAAAATTAGACCAGACAGTGCTGCCAGCCTCAAGGCATTCAAAATGTGGCTCAAAATAACATTTTCTTTTAGAGTTCTGCTTTTTCTTCCCCCTCAGGTAGCTGAATGCAAAGGGAAAACAACTTATCCCCTTCTCTAAACACAGCTCGCTTATCCAAATACATTCCCAGTTAAGCAGAAAACAGA